TCTTTTATTTTTTAAAAATACTAAATATTCTCTTTTTATCAAGTGTTAACCTAATTTAAACATCGATAGTATAATATTCAAATAGTCTATCAAAATACTTATTTATTTTTATTAAAATCAACATAAAATTTTAGATTCGTATAATTTGAGATAACAAAATAATCAAATTTATTATTATTAATATTTAATTAAATAAATAATTATATTATATGGTAGTGAGAATAGAGATTCTATCATCATCAATATTTGATTGAGTAAATAATTGTATTATATGATGTAAAATTATTAGGATTTTATTATTATCAATATATGATTAAGTAAATAATTTTATAATATAATCTAAAACTCTTACAATAATAAAGATTAGATATTGGACTCTTGCCTTGAATAAGAGTGAATATATATATATTACGTTACATTAAAAAATTAAAAAAAAATATTTTTACAGTTACCGACTTCTATTGACATAATTTTTCTTGAACTCGTTTAATATTAGTTTATTAGTCTCTCACATAAACCGTAAGCGTCTTAAAATATCAAAAGGGACCCACCCATTCTCTTTAGGCTTGTCCTCTTTTTCTATGTGAAGAAACAAGGAAGAAGGTTAAGCGAGCAAACGTTGTTTCAGTATCTGCGAATTTCGGTTTGTGAAAATGGCGGATCCGACCAGAAGGGTTTTGAAAGAAGAAGTTCTGACTTACGCTTACATTCTCTTATACATCGCTCTCTCCAGCGGTCAAATCTTCTTCAACAAGGTCAACTTTCATGCACATATTATTCTATATTGACACAGACAAATATACATGTTAATTTATCCCTTGTTGGATCTGTGAATATTGGCAGATTTGGTTGCGTTTGTTTATTCACTTCGCTCCTTGATCATACTTGAAATGAAATTCATATGGTTTAACGGACGAATCATATTCGAAAATGAACTACTTACTTTCTTGGAAATGCACGAGGGAAGAAATTGATTAGAGGATAAAAAGATTTAAGAAGTTTGTCTGGTGCTAACTGAGGTAGGATTTTCTCAAATTTCAGGTCTCGCTTCAGTAAAACGTTTTCTACGCTTTTCATAACAATCTTTTTGTTTTTGAACCATTCTATGGTGGGTGGTTTTTTACTTTGCCAGTCATTTTGTCCTAGAGAAATAGATGGCATTTTTTATGCTCCACTGCCTTGCTTGAATAGGAGATCGCGTTATTATTTGTGTATTCGCTGACACAGTAGATTCAGTCAGATATTGTTCTGGACTGTGAATTAGATGTAATAGCGGTCAAATCTTTAGGACTATGTGATGATATATGGAATTTGTGTTATAAAAGACTAAAAACAATATGAAGGGAAAAATTCGTCGTGATGAGGTATCTAAGAATTATTCATTTGGTGGTATAAAGAATCCGAGAAGGTAATTATGAAGGCCAGATCACATTCATAGAAGAATTTCTAGCTTTCTTATCTATCTCCAAGTACTATGAGGATGTATGTTTAGATAA